CTCCTGGATTCAAGGGATTCTCCTGCCTCAGCCTCTTGAGTAGCTGAGATTACAGGCATGCACCACCATGCCTGGCTAATTTTTTTTTTTTTTTTTTTGTATTTTAGTAGAGATAGGGTTTCACCATGTTGACCAGGATAGTCTTGATCTCCTGACCTTGTGATCCGCTGATCTTGGCCTCCCAAAGTGCTGGGATTACAGGTGTGAGCCACCATGCTTGGCTTTTTTTTTTTTTTGAGACAGAGTCTCACTCTCTTGCCCAGGGTGGAGGGCAGTGGTATGATCTCAGTGATTCTTGTGCCTCAGCTTCCTGAGCAACTGGGATTACAAATGTGTGACGCCATGCTGGGCTGATTTTTGTATTTTTTGTAGAGATGGGGTTTTGTCATGTTGGTCAAGCTGGTCTTGAACTCCTAGCTTCGTGTGATCCACCCACCTTGGCCTCCCAAAGTGTTGGGATTACAGGCTGAGTCACCATACCTGCCTTGAGGTCCTGTTCTATAGAATGATAAGGGTGTGTCGGGCAGGCAGGCCAGTTGTCTACAGTGACTAAAACATCGAGTGAAGAGACCGAGGCCTCAGTCCTGCTATGCTGAGAGCTTGGCGTCTTGGTGGAGCTGCCATCCTCCCCTGCCTCTAAACTGGCAGGTGTCGTGCAGCCGTCAGGTCACTGTTTCTGGGATGCCTGGCTGTGTTCCCATTCTTTGATTTGCTTTGACTGCCCTCTAGGGGGCATTTTGCTCCAGAACCACGGGGACCAGCTTCCGTAGGAGATGGGTTCAGAGAGGGCCAAGTCCCTCCCTCTGCTCACGCCTGTGGTGTTACGTCTCATCTATGTGTAGAGCACTCCCAAAATTATATCCCCAATCTACGCTCCCCTGACCCCGAACTCCAGACTTGCAGATCCAACTGCCATCGTCCTTTCTCTCTCACCGTGATGTCTGGCAGGCGTCTCAGTCTGAATGTGTCCAAAACCGAGCTCCTCATCCTCCCCAAGCCTGCTCCCCATCTCAGTTATGCAGTTCCACCCTTCCAGATGCCTAAGTTGAAACCCTGGCTGCCATCCTTGGTGCCTCTCTTTCCTGCACGCCCCAAGTCCAACCCGTCAGCAAATCCTATTGGCTATGCCTTCAAAGTATATCCAGAATCTGACCACTTCTTACTACCTTGGTCCAAGCCATCATCACCTCTAGATTCTTATTCAAATAGTCTCCTATCTGGTCCTGCAGCATCTGGCCTTGCCCAGTGGGCCTCATCTCAGTTGGAGAAAAAGCCAGTTGTTTTTTTTTTGAGATAGTCTTGCTGTGTTGCCCAGGCTGGAGTGTAGTGGCACCATCTCAGTTCACTGCAATCTCTGCCTCCCAGGTTCAAGCGATTCTTATGCCTCAGCCTCCCGAGTAGCTGGGACTACAGGCGCACACCACCACACCTGGATAACTTTTGTTTTTTGAGATGGAGTCTCACTCCTTGCCCAGATTGGAGTGCAGTGGTGCGATCTTGGCTCATTGCAACCTCCACCTCCCTGGTTCAAGGGATTCTCCTGCCTCAGCCTCCTGAGTATCTGGGACTATAGGCATGTACAAACATGCACAGCTAATTTTTGTATTTTTAGCAGAGATGGGATTCACCGTGTTGACCAGGCTGGTCTCAAACTCCTGACCTCAGGTGATCTACCTGCCTCAGCCTCCCAAAGTGCTGGGATTACAGGTGAGAGCCACGGCACCTAGCTGAAAAAGCCAAAGTCTTTACAATGACCTGTAGGGCTCCATATTATCTGACTCATCTCTTTTTTTTTTAATCTGACTCATCTCTTATCACTCTTTGCATCTCCGCCTTCATTTCTCAGGTATTGCTCGTGTCAGGCATGTTCCTGCCTCAGGGCCTTTGCACTTGCTATTTCCCCTGCTTAGAATGTTCTTTCTCCAAACAACTGCATGACTGCTTCCCTCGATTCTTCCAGATCTCTACTCAAAAGATCCCTCAGTGTGATTTTCCCTGGCTATCCTATCACAACGTCAACACCCCTCTGACACGCCTGCCAACCATGCTTTATGTTTTTCTCCTCAGCATTTATCAATATTCAATATGTAAACATCTTACTCATTTCTCCTCCACTGGAATGTAAGTTCCACAACATTAGAACAATTTTATTTTTTTTCAAGGTCTCGTTCTGTCAAGCAGGCTGGAGTGCAGTGGTGCGATCATAGCTCACTGCAGCCCTGAACTCCGGGGTTTAAGCAGTCCTCCTGAATAGCCCTTCCAAAGTGCTAGGATTATAGGCATGAGCCACCATGTCTGGCCCAGAAATTTTGTTTATTTTGTCCCCTGACATTTTTTTTTTTTTTAGTTGGAGTTTCGCTCTTGTTACCCAGGCTGGAATGCAATGGTGGGATCTCGGCTCACTGCAACCTCCGCCTCCTGGGTTCAGGCAATTCTCCTGCCTCAGCCTCCTGGGTAGCTGGAACTACAGGCGTGTACCACCACGCCCAGGTAATTTTTCGTATTTTTAGTAGAAACGGAGTTTCACCATGATGACCAGGATGGTCTCCATCTTTTGACCTCGTGATCCACCCGCCTCGGCCTCCCAAAGTGCTGGGATTACAGGCTTGAGCCACCATGCCCGGCCTTTTATTGTGTTTTAATCGTCCCAATACGATACTTCAATCTTGTCTCCATTTTGTAGATAAAAAAACTGAGGCACAGAGTGATCGGGTCACTTGCCTAAGGTTCATACAGCTGGGAAGTGTGGCTCAGGGAAAGACTCTACCCCCTTAACTCAGATTTCTCATCACTTAAATGAGGCATCTAAAATCATGCCCTCTTTGGCCAGGAGCATTGGCTCATACCTGTAATCCCAGCACTTTGGGAGGCCCAGACGGGCAGATCAGGAGGTCAAGAGATCGAGACCATCCTGGCAAACATGATGAAACCCTGTCTCTACTAAAAATACAAAAATTAGCCAGGTGTTGTGGTGTGTGCCTAGAGTCCCAGGTACTTGGAGGCTGAGGCAGGAGAATCGCTTGAACCTGGGAGGCAGAAGTTACAGTGAACAGAGATCTTACCACGACATTCCATCCTGGGGACAGAGCAAGACTCTGTCTCAAAAAAAAAAAAAAAAAAATGCCCTTTGCAGGGTCATTGTGACATATTGACATATTGTGAAGATTGTGTATGATAGAGCATGTGACAAACTTAAAGCCAGTGCCTGGCACACTGTAATCACTCAAGAAGTAGTCTCTGGCCGAGTGAGGTGGCACATGCCTGTAATTCCAGCTACTTGGGAGGCTGAGGTGGGAGGATCAGTTGAGTAGGAGGATCAAACTCGGCTTGGGAGGCCGAGTTTGCAGTGAGCTAAGATTGCAGCACAACACTACAGCCTAGTTGACAGAGTGAGACCCCAATCTCAAAGAATAAATAAATAAAATTTAAAAAGTAGTAGTCTCTAGGAATATGAAAGGATGTACAAGGTGTTTGTCCCTAGTCATGAAAGGTATTTCTGCAGAGGCTAAGCAAGGGGCCAGGAAGTTAGTATTATTGTTTTGTTTTTTCTTTTTATATTTTAATTTTTTTATAGAGATGGGATTTCACCATGTTGGCCAGAATGGTCTTGATCTCCTGACCTCGTGATCCACCCGCCTCGACCTCCCAAAGTGCTGGGATTACAGGCGTGAGCCTCCGCGCCCGGCTTGTTTTGTTTTTGAGAGTTGCCCTCTGCTGCCCAGGTTGGAGTGCAGTGGCGCAATCTTGGCTCACCTGACCTATTATTGTTAATATTGTTGTCATTTCCATCACTTTTCCGTGAAGCAGGATTTAGCCATACCAGCCTGTTCCTCTGTGACCATGACACACACTGGGTCCTCTGCTTGGAGTGCATTTAGCACAGTTTGGCACAGAAACTCATATGCATCCTTCCCGGCCCAACTCAAAAATCTCCTCAGGGAAGTTTTTCCTGACCTCCTGAGGTATGTCATATTCCTGTTATAGTTAGGGTTGCAATTTATTTATTGATTTGTTTTTTTGTTTGTTTGTTTAATCTGAAGCCCCTACCAGGCTGGGAGCTCTTCAAGGGCCACGCTTTGTGGGTCCTGATGCAGAAACAATTTGAGACCCCTCTTTAAAATATGATTTTTTTTTTGAGACAGAGTTTCACTCTTGTTACCCAGGCTGGAGTGCAATGGCGCAATCTTGGCTCACCGCAACCTCCGCCTCCTAGGTTCTGGCAATTCTCCTGCCTCAGCCTCCTTAGTAGCTGGGATTACAGGTGTGAGCCACCATGCCCAGATAATTTTTTGTATTTGTAGTAGAGACGGGGTTTCACCATGTTGACCAGGATGGTCTCAATCTCTTGACCTCATGATCCACCCGCCTCAGCCTCCCAAAGTGCTGGGATTACAGGCTTGAGCCACCGCGCCCAGCCCCTAGTCTTTCATTATTTCCCGTGTGCCTGCCTTGTGCCAGGCACTGTGCTATGACATAGGGGTTCAGAGGTAAACAAGATACTCATGGAACCTAATTTTAGTGCAGGGCAGTGGACAATACATACAACAAGAAATGAATAAGCAAAATAATTTGAGAGTGCTGGGAAGATACATTTGTGATGTGATTGAGTGACAAGGAGAGAGTGTTAATTTAGATGGAGAGGCGGTCAGGACAGTGTGGTCTGTGGAGGTGATGTGTGAGCTACAACCTGATGACCTGAGGAAGCTGGCCATGCATTGTGGTGCGGGGAGGCACTCCAGGAGAGGGGCCCGTGAGTGCAAAGGCCCTGAGGCAGGTATGCCTTGTTAGTAAAGAGCAGAGTCCTGATCCAGTGCTCCTTTACCACCTGCTGCTCTCTAGGTCCTCAGAGATGCTCCTTTGGTGTCTTGGACCTTGCTCAAGCTCAATTCCTAAAGTGCCAACTGACGTAGGAAGGCAGCACATCTGGCTTCCTGCGGGTCCCCCTCCCAGAAGCCCTGTGGCTGAACCGGATCTGAGTTTCCTGGTTTCTGTCTGGCAGGAGGGCAGCAGATCTCTTCCCTGCCTCATCTCCCCAGGCTGTAGCCCTGGCCCCAAATCTCCATGGCAACCCCTGGACACAGTTCTGAACCAAAGCGGGAGGATCTGGAAGAGGAAGCACACAGAGACCAGGGGGCTGGAGGACTTGCCTCCGCCTTCTCCTTGTGTCCCACCAGCCTCCTTGCTGGCCTGACCAGGTCCCCATATCCCAGTCTCCCCAAACACCCCAAGCTGAAGATTCTGTGCTTCTGCCCCATTGCTGGGCACAGCAGAGCCTGGATGGAGGCTTGTCTTCTGCAGTTGCCCCAAAGGTTGCTCCTGCTGGGGGCAGCCACCCTGACTGCAACTGCTTTGGAGACAGGTAAGTATGAGGGGGCTTGGTTGGGGCACCCAGAAGACTTAGGCCCCCACCACCCTTAGAGACTATGCTTCCTCAGTCAGCACTCATTCTGATGGGCTGAGACCTTTTGGGTTGGGGGAGGCTGGGAAACTCTGTGCCTGGTCTTGCTTGGCATCCCCAAGTCCAACCCAAAGGCTTCTGGAAGGCTGGACCTCCCAGTCACTCAGAAGCAGGATTCTGGGGATGGGCAGGACAGCCCTCAGAGCCTGCTATGCAAAATTCTACAGGCTTTGGATTCAGAGAAGCTGCATTTATATACACTCCGCCACTTCCTGTGTTTGCACCTTTGTGATCAATGTTTCAGCTCTCTGTCTGAATTTCTTTGGCAGTAAAATGAAAATAATAGGCCCTTGCCCATAAGGCACTATGACTATTGTACATATAAGATAAGCCAGTGGGGTGTGGTGGCTCAGGCCTGTAATCCCAGCACTTTGGGGGGCCAAGGCAGGAGGATCATGAGGTCAGGAGATCAAGACCATCCTGGCTAACACGGCGAAACCCTGAATCTACTAAAAATACAAAAAATTAGCCGGGCGTGATGGCAGGCACCTGTAGCTCCAGCTACTCAGGAGGCTGAGGCAGGAGAATCTCTTGAACCTGGGAGGTGGAGGTTGCAGTGAGCCGAGATTGCGCCACTGCACCACTCCAGCCTGGGTGACAGAGCGAGACTTCGTCTTAGAAAAAAAGAGATCAGCCATGCAAAGCACTTCATAATGCCTGCCACATAAAAGGTGCCCAATTCCTTTACTCTCGAAACTCCTTGCCTGCCTTGTGTACCTTCAGGGTATGCTCTGGCTTTAGCAGATAAATACCAAATATTGAAAAGTACTCCCACATCCTGAGCTCTGATGAAGGATATTTTCCTCGAAGACCCACATCCTGACTGGTCCTCAAGCTCCCACTGGTCCCTACCTTGCACCAGAAAACCCACCTCTCTTCCCTCTCTGTCCTTACAGAAACCTGGGCTACTTTGAATACTTACACATTATCTCATATAATCCTCACAACAACCCTGTACCACTGAGGATATTTGGGGCTGTAAGTAACAGATAACAAACTAAGTGGGGCTTAAATGGTAGGATATTTACTATTTCACTTAAGAGTGGTCATAGGTGATTCCAGAGATGGTTGACTCAGTGGCTCAACAATGTCACCGTTCCTCTGGAATGCTCTGACCTTGTCTTTGCAAAATGGCTGCTGCAGCTCTGGACATCACATCCTCACCCTCAGTCAGCAGCTTTCAAAAGCAGGAAGAAAAAGGGCTCTTTATTACACAGCTCTCCGTGTGTGTGTGTGTGTATGTGTGTGTTACAGAGTCTCACTGTGTTATCCAGGCTGGAGTGCAGTGGTGCCATCTCGGCTCTCCTGCCTCAGCCTCTCAAGTAGCTGGGATTACAGGTGTGTGCCACCATGCTTGGCTAATTTTTGTAGTTTTAGTAGAGACGGGTTTTCACCATGTTGGTGAACTCCTGACCTCAGGTGATCCACCCCCGTTGGCCTCCCAAAGTACTGGGATTACAGGCTTGAGCCACTGGGGTCGGCCCACATCTTAGGGTTTGGGGTAAGGGATTGTATTAAATTAAATTAAATTAATCATGTAATCCTCACAATAATTCTGAGATTGCTTAATCATCCCCATTTACGGATGAGAAAACTGAGGCTCAGAGAGGGATAGCAACTCGCATGGGATCACACAGCGGACAGGGGCAGAGTCGAGTTTGGAGTCGCGCCGCGCGGCTCCAGGGTTCTTGCCTTCCGCTGCAGCCGACCTGGCGGACCTGTGCGGGCAGACGTGGCAGGGGGACGGGCTGCTGCTGCGCTCGCACGCCGCGTCGCGCAGGTTCTACTTCGTGGCTCCGGACACCGACTGCGGGCTCTGGGTGCAGGCGGCGGCCCCCGGCGACCGGATCCGCTTCTAGTTCCGTTTCTTCCTGGTCTACAGCCTGACCTTAGCGCCCCCGGCGCTCAACGCCTCCTCCCCGGCGCCTGCCGACCCTTGTGCCTCCGGCTCCTACCTGCAGTTCTATGAGGGCCCGCCGGGGGCGCCCCGGCCCCTGGGGTACCCCCTCTGCGGCCTGACCATCCCGGTCCCCGTGGCATCCTCCGGACCCTTCCTAGGCCTGCGCCTGGTCACGAGAGGCCGCCAGCCCTGCGTGGACTTCGTGGGCGAAGTCACCTCTTTCCATCTGGGTGAGCTAGGGGTTAAAGGCGGGTCGGGGCCTCATGCAGACACTATGTGGGACTGGGGCCACAGTGGCGACCCGGGTGAGGGCCACTGCTGGCAGGGGAATGGTGGGGGCGCCCGGAGCACAAGATGGCAAGGACTGGGTCCAAAGGGAAGAAGGTGGTGGTTAGTGGCCGAGTCACAATAAGGGACCTCCCGGACCCTAAGAGCCAACCATATAAATCTGGCTACCATGGATACGTGCACCAGACTGTCCTACCAGCCCTGATGCACACACACATACACACACATTCACACACAACTCCCCCCACACACATTCACACACAACTCCCCCCAAATTCACACACAACTCCCTCACACACATTCACACACAACTCCCATACACATTCACACACAACTTCCCCATACACATTCATACACAACTCCCCCCACACATTCACACACAACTCCCCCCACACATTCACACACAACTCCCCCATATATTCACACACAACTCCCCCCACATTCACATACAACTCCCACATACGAACACACCTCATACCCTGACCCATACACATACACATAACCCATGCACCTCGTCACTCCCCACACACTCCACACTCATGCCTCTCACACACTGCAGTACGCATCTCACACTGCACACTCACCGTTATCACACACCTCACATGCACACAGTAGCACCGTGTGCACTTACGACTAACACGCTTTTTAAATTTTTTTTTAGAGACAGGGTTTCACTGTATTGGCCAGGATGGTCTCGATCTCTTGACCTTGTGTTCCACCTGTCTTGGCCTCCCAAAGTGCTGGGAGTACAGGCCTAAGCCTCCACGTCCGGCCCAACTCACAGGCTTTCATGCCACATACTGGCTGCTCTGTGCTGAGTCAGCCCTTCAGATGTTTGTCGAAGGGTGTGATTAGGGGACTGTAGGCAGCAGAAACCCACTCAAGCCAGGAAAGGGGCCTCTTGGAACTGAAGCTAATAATACTCGCCTGACTGGGCGCCACCCTGGCTTACACCTGTAATCCCAGCACTTTGGGAGGCCAAGGCATGAGGATCACTTGAGCTCAGGAGTTCCAAGACCAGCCTGGGTGACAGAGAGGGACCTGCCTAAAACAAAAAAAAATTAAAAAATAAAATAAGCCAGGCGCGGTGGCTCAAGCCTGTAATCCCAGCACTTTGGGAGGCCGAGGCGGGTGGATCACGAGGTCAAGAGATTGAGACCATCCTGGTCAACATGGTGAAACCCTGTCTCTACTAAAAATACAAAACATTAGCTGGGCATGGTGTCGCGTGCCTGTAATCCCAGCTACTCAGGAGGCTGAGGAGGGAGAATTGCTTGAACCCAGGAGGCGGAGGTTGCAGTGAGCCGAGATTGCGCCATTGTACTCCAGCCTGGGTAACAAGAGCGAAACTCCGTCTCAAAATAAATAAATAAATAAATAAAATAAAATAGTCACAGGCACAGTGACTCATGCCTGTAATCTCAGTACTTTGGGAGGTCGAGGCGGGTGGATCATGAGGTCAAGAGATCAAGGTCATCCTGGCCAACATAGTGAAGCCCCTTCTCTACTAAAAATACAAAAATTAGCTGGGCATGGTGGCATGCGCCTGTAATCCCAGCTTCTTGGGAGGCTGAGGCAGAAGAATTGCTTGAATCTGGGAGGTGGAGGTTATGTGAGCCAAGATCATGCCACGGCACTCCAGCCTGGCGACAGGGCGAGACCCCGTCTCAAAAAAATAAAATAAAATAATAATTAAAAGTAGTAAGATTAATAACAGTACTTGCCCCATAGGGGTATTGCGAGGCCTCAGTGCGCCAGGATGTGAAGTGTCTAGAGCTGTGCCTGTCACAGAAGAGGAAGTCAGTACATGTTAGCTGCCATCCTCCACCTTTCCCCCATAAAATGCTCTATCTGTGCTCTCATCCGCCGCATGCACGAAGACAGCTCTCTCTGCCCACAGCCGCACACTGTCACCATGGGGCCATAACCCTGCTGTGTCGTGGGCAGGACCAGGATCCTCACCTCAGGCTTCCACTTCTGGCCCCAGGACCTTGTGGTGCCTACTTCCACTGCCGGAATGGCAGGTGCATCCCCTCAAGCCTCATGTGTGACCCCTGGCGCATGGACAACTGTGGCGATAGCAGTGACCAGGGCTTCTGGCTACCAGCTGACTGCAGAGGTCAGTGCGGGTGCGGCCTGGGCCCTAACTCCTCTTCCCTAGGGCAGTGCCTCAGTGGGGAGTCCGGAGAGAGGAAAGTGGAAGTGTGGAATCAGCTTAGGCCAAGGGCTGGAGGGGCAGAGCAGTCAGAGGCAGAACTACACTGCAGTTGATTTCATCCTGGGATTTCAAATGATGCTTTAATGGTAGAAACTTTTGCTAAATGGGACCTGGCACAGAGGCACAAGATATTTAAAGGAGAGATCCTCTGCTCAATTCAATGGTGGTCCTGGGGCCCTGGCTGCCTGATGTCTCTCTGAGGGCCCTGAGTGTCACCTTCAAGGCATACTTTTTTTTTTTTTTGAGATGCAGTCTCGTTCTGTTGCCCAGGCTGGAGTGCAGTGGTGAGATCTCAGCTCACTGCCACCTCCGCCTCCTGGGTTCCAGTGATTCTCCTGCCTCAGCCTCCCGAGTAGCTGGGATTACAGGCACCCACCAGCACACCTGTGGGGTAGAGATGGGGTTTTACTATCTTGGCCAGGCTAGTCTTGAACTCCTGACCTCGTAATCCACCTGCCTTGGCCTCCCAAAGTGCTGAGATTATAGGCGTGAGCTACCACACCCAGCCTTTATCTTTTTTTAAAATGAACTTATTTATTGATTGATTGTTTTGAGATAGGGTCTCATTCTGTTACCCAGGCTGAGTGCAGTGGCGCCATCTTGGCTCACTGCCACCCCTGCTTCTTGGGCTCAGGTGATCCTCCCACTGCAGCCTCCAGGGTAGCTGGGACTACAGGTGTGCCACCATGCCCAGCTAATTTTTGTGTTTTTTGTAGAGATGAGGTCTCACTATATTGCCCAGGCTACTCCTGAACTCCTGGGCTCAAGTGACCTTCCAAAGTGCTGGGATTACATGAACTTTATTTTTTAGGGCGGTTTTAGATTTACAAAAAAATTGAGAATGTAGTACAGAAAATTCTCATATACTCAGCACTCAGTTTGGGTGCTATTATTGACATTTTACATTAATGAGACATTTGTTTTAATTAGTGAAGTAATATTATTAACTAAACCCACAGTTTATTCAGTTTTCCCTAGCGTTTACCTAACCTGACCTCAAGTGATCCATCCACCTTGGCCTCCCAAAGTGCTGGGATTACAGGCTTAAGCCAACGCACCTGGCCCAACTTTTTGTATTTTTAGTAGAGACGGGGCCTCACCATGTTGCCCAGGCTGGTCTCGAACTCCTGACCTAAGGTGTTAGGGTGGTCCACCCACCTCTGCCTCCCAAGGTGCTGGGATTACAGGCGTTAGCCACCATACCTGGCTAGGGTTGCTATTTTTATATAAAGGAGTCAGGGAAGAACTTAAGTAGAGACCCTCCAGGAAGCAAAGGAATGAACTTGCCATGCAGACATCAGAAGAAAAGTCTTTGGGATGGAGGACACAGCTAGAGCAAAGGCCAGGACAAGGCTGGAGTATGGAGGGGAGGCGGGGCCAGGGAGGAGGTGGGGCCAGGAAAGAAGAGGCGGGGCCAGGAAAGGGGCAGGGCCTTCGAGCCTCCTGGAGCAAGACTCCCTTTCAAAAAAACAAACAAACAAAAAAAAACAAAACAAAAAATTAGCTGAGTGTGGTGGCCCGCGCATGTAATCCCAGCTACTCGGGAGGCTGAGGCAGGAGAATCACTGGAACCCAGGAGGCAGAGGTTGCATTGGGCAACCTGAGAGTGCAGACCTGAGTGCAGCGAGATCGCACAACTTCCCTCCAGCGTGGGCGACAGAGGGAGACTCCATCTCAAAAAAAAAAAAGCAACCCCGTGTCTGCCTACAGATGAGTGGATAAACTAAATGTGGTCTAACCACACAATGGAATGCTTTGAAAAGGAAGGAAATTCGGACATATTCTACCATATGGATGAACCTTGAGGACGTAAGTGAAATAAGCCAGTCCTAAAGGGACGTACTGCATGACTCCACTTATATATGGAATAGCCAATTCCATTATCTATTAGAATGTATATTAGAAGTTACTACTTTTGAGACAGAGCTTCACTCTGTCGCCCAGGCTGAAGTGCGGTGGCTCAATTGCTGCTCACTGCAGCCTCCGTCTCCTGGGTCAAGTGATTCTCCTGCTTTGGTCACCTAAGTAGCTGGGATTACAGGCGCTTACCACTACCAGCTAATTTTTGTATTTTTAGTAGAGACGAGGTCTCACCATGTTGACCAGGCTGGTCTCAAACTCCTGACCTCAAATGATCTACCTGCCTCAGCCTCCCAAAATGGGGGGATTACAGGCATGAGCCACTGTGCCCAGCAAAGTTATTTATTTATTTTTTTGAGACAGAGTTTCGCTGTTGTTACCCAGACTGGAGTGCAATGGCATGATCTTGGCTCACCGAAACCTCCGCCTTCCGGGTTCAAGCAATTCTCCTGCCTCAGCTTCCCGAGTAGCTGGGACTACAGGCGTGCATCACCATTCCCAGCTAATTTTTGTATTTTTAGTAGAGACGGGGTTTCACTTCGTTGACCCGGATGGTTTCGGTCTCTTGACCTTGTGATCCACCCCCTTCGGCCTCCCAAAGTTCTGGGATTACGGGCTTGAACCACCGTGCCCGGCCAATTTTTTGTATTTTTAATAGAGACAGGGTTTCTCCTTGTTGGTCAGACTGGTCTTGAACTCCTAACCTAAGGTGATCTGCCCGCCTCAGCCTCCCAAAGTGCTGGGATTACAGGCGTAAACCACCATGCCTGGCCTGTTATATTATTAATAACAGTAAATATATTATTATATTTTAATATGTATATTAGAATAGTCAAAATCACAGAGACAGGAAGTAGAGCCATGGTCACCAGGGGCTGGAGAGGTGGGGAAAAGGAGGATATGGAGTTAGTGAAATTAATGGACTTGACAGAGTTTGTTTGGGAAGATGCAAAGTTCTGGAGCTGGATGGCAGTGATGGCTGCACAATGTGAACATGTATTAGTCTGTTCTCACATTGCTATAAAAAAAACCCAAAACAGGCTGGGCACTGTGGCTCACGCCTATAATCCCAGCACTTTGGGAGGCCGAGGCGGGTGGATCACGAGGTCAAGAGATCGAGACCATCCTGGTCAACGAGGTGAAACCCCGTCTCTACTAAAAATACAAAAATTAGCTGGGCATGGTGGTGTGTGCCTGTAGTCCCAGCTACTCGGGAGGCTGAGGCAGGAGAATTGCTTGAACTCAGGAGGCAGAGGTTGCGGTGAGCCGAGATCGAGCCATCGCACTCCAGTCTGGGTAACAACAGCAAAACTCCGTCTCAAAAAAAAAACAAACAAACCCCAAACACCCAAGACTGGGTAATTTATAAAGAAAAGAGGTTTAGTTGTCTCACAGTTCTGCAGGCTGTACAGGAAGCATGATGCTGGCATCTGCTCAGCTTATGGAGATGCCTCAGGAAACTTACAATCTTGGCAGAAGGCCAGGGGACCAGGTGTGGCCAGAGCAGGTGCAAGAGCGAGAGTGAGGGAAGGCACCGCACACTTGTAAACAGCCAGCTCTTGCGGGAACTCACTAGCACAAGAACAGCACCAAGAGGATGGTGCTGAACTATTCATGAGAAATCCACCCCATGATCCAGTCACCTCCCACCGGGCCCCACCTCCAACACTGGGGATTACAATTTGACCTGAGATTCGGTTAGGAACACAGATCCAAATCATAACAGAATGTATTTCATGCCACTGTACACCTAAACATGTTAAAATGGTTATGTTATGTGCTTTGCCACAGTGGGAAAAGCAGCTGCCCTGCTCCCTGCGAGCATGCTTAATTTTTCTCACTAGCACCTGTCTCCTTTAGACATAAATTTTTTTTTTTTGAGATGGAGTCTTGCTCAGTCTGGAGTGCGGTGGTGTGATCTTAGCTCACTGCAACCTCCACCTTCTGGGTTCAAGCAGTTCTCCTGCCTCAGCCTCCCAAGTAGCTGGGATTACATGCTCGCATCACCATGCCTGGCTAATTGTTTTGTTTTTAGTAGATACCGGGTTTCTCCATGTTGGCCAGGCTGGTCTTGAACTCCTGACCTCAAGTGATCTGCCCACCTTGGCCTCCCAAAGTGTTGGGATTACAGGCATGAGCCACTGCACCCTGTCCTTTGGACATAAATTCTATTCACGTGTTTTGTTTCTCCCCACACTAAACTCCCAGTTTCATGAAGACATATTTGTCATGTGATCACGGTTGTATCCTCCAGTTGCTAGAGCCATGCTTGGGGCATAGAAGATGCCTGAGAAATATTAGTCACATGAATGAAGGAATGAACCTGTGTCTCAGTTTCCTTATCTGTGAAATGGGGATAAACTTCACCCTTCAGAATTGTAAATTTTAAGTGGAATACATAGGGAAAGGGCCTGGCACATAGTATGGCCGTTTACCTGTGTATTAAAAAGTTTACAGAAAATGTTCATGGCTGGGCATGATGGCTCACGCCTGTAATCCCAGCACTTTGGGAGGCCGAGGCAGGTGGCTTGAGCTCAGGAGTCAAGACCAACTTGGGCAACATAGTGAGACACTGTCTTTACAAAAAATAAAAAAAATTAGCTTGGTGGCACATGCCGGTAGTCCCAGCTACTTGGGAGGCTGAGGTGAAAGGATCACTTGAGCCTGGGAGGCAGAGGTTCAGTGAGTGGTGATCACAGCACTGGACTCCAGCCTGGACAACAGAGTGGGACCCTGCCTCAGTACCTGTACACCCTCTTCCTTGAGAAGTAGCTCCATTCATAGACCGTAGACCCTGGAGCTGGACTGTGTGAGTTCACGTCCTCCTGTCACTTCAGCTAAGTGACCTTGGCAAATGACTTAACCTTTCTGTAAAATGGAAACACAGAGAGTGACAAACTCAGGGAAGTCTTGTGAGGATCGAATGAAACACACAAGGGCCCCAGAAAAGCCAGTTCTCCGTGTGCCTGTTCTGTTATTTCCCATGCAGGTCCCTCTCCGGTGCCCAGCCAGACAGGAAGTACGGATGCCCATACCTCCAGACCCTTGACTTCCTCCCCAGCTCTCGGGTCTGCAGGGTCCCTCCGGATTGCAGCTGAGAGGAGCTCCCCAGCAGGCAGGGACCCCAGGAGACAGGATGCAGCTTTGGAAGGTCATACCCTGCCCCTACTCTTCCCACCAAAATCACACCTGTCCCTCTCCAGGTGATGGGGACAGGGGCAGCGGGTGCAGGCTGAGGCCTGAGTGGACTCTCTCCTCTCACAGGCCCCCAGCTCCGAGGGGTGGCGCTGGCCTCCTCGATGCTCCTGACCTCTGCTGGCCTCCTCGTGGGCCTCCTTTGGTGCTGCTGCTCTCCCAGCCGGCTTGCCTGGCGACCTGGTGCCCATGGCCTCTGCCTCTGCTGCAGCACAGCCTGTATCATGTGCTCCCCATGTCCTGGCCAGGTCTCCCCAGCAGGCTGCAGCTGAGTGGCCTAGCCTTCCAGGATCGGGGAGGCCATCCCTATAGCGACTTTGGGTGCACAGGAATGAGACTGGGCTCTGGAGTCAGACACACTCTTTGGGTTCTAACCCCCTGGCTGTCTGATGTTGGACAGGCCCCTTAACCCTCTGAGACTCAGCTGCCCCTCCAGAAAATGGGATGATTCCTACCTCACAGGGTTAGGAGCCTGGGGACCTCGCTGATCCAAAGCCACCTTGCTTTACCCCCAGATCTCATCTGCCCTGCTCTGCCCCACCCATAGGCACCACTGAGTGAGGCCCTCATCAAAGACACCGGAGCCCCCTGGCGGGGATAGCACCGTTTATTAAGAAAAATCAAGACAAAGACCACATGAGGGTCCTTTCTAGGACACAGAGGCCAGGCATCCCAACCCCACAGTCTGGGGGCCACTGGCAGGATGGCACTCCACCTAGCTGGGTCTTCAGGCTCCCACAGATAGGGCAGGGTGGTCACATCCCCCCCGCTCCCAGTCGTGAGTCCTGCCTTCCCCCACCCAAGGCACTAGCTCTTCAAGCACCAGCAGCTTCCAAGGAGTCCCTGGGCCTGTCCTTCCAGATGAGTGGGGAAGCAGCCTGGGGTGGGCGGGGCCCTCTCAGTGTTGGGCTCTTCCAGTAGCAGCTCCGGTAAAGAGTTGGGGTGGGCTTTCCCTTACAGCCACTGAGGGAGGGACCCCAGGCTGTATGCTGGCAGGAGTGGGTGGAATGCAGGCCAGCAGGGCATGGTGGGAGGGAGAGGCTGCCAGAGGGAGGTGCCAGGGTCTGGGTGGAGGTGAGTGGGGGTGCTGAAAAACAAGCTGGTGGGGATGGGGACTGCCTGCCCAGGGGTGAGCTGCCTTTTGCTGCATAGCTGTCACTAAAGACAATTCCCAATCCCGAGTGGGTGGCAGACTCCTGCGATGCCCGTCTCAGGCAGCTATGGGACACCCGGCTGTGAGCCAAGGCTGGCTCTCCTAGAAGGGAGGACTGCCCAGGGGCTACAGAAATGGGCCACCCAGCTCCACCGTGGGGGTTCCATCGGTGGGTAGGGAGGCAGTGGGGGCAGCTCTGGGCCCACCCGGCTGCCGTGCCTGACCCCAAGTCCTGGTGTTTTTCTGAGGCACCCACTCCCATCCATCCTGCCTTGCCTTCCAGCCTTGTGGCTTTGCCCAGCTGTGTGTGTGTGGGGTGGCATGTCCACCTCCAGTCCAGCCCAGGGTGGTAGCAGCAAAGCGTGGCATCGCCTCAGTTTCTTACAAAAGTTCATAATAATATTAATAATAATATACTCGACATTGTTGGGCTGGGGCGCAGCCCAGGAGTCTGTGTGGGGCAGGCTGGTGCCTACGAGGGGCAGGGGCGTGTGTTGGCCCCGGCCTGGGCTCGGTGCTGCAAGTCCAGGGGCTGTGGGGGTGGGGCGCTGGGTCGGGCTGAGTGCAGCACCACGTTCTTGACACAGCCTGTGATGCCCGAGGAGAACCTGCCCCGGGTCAGCATGGCCACTTCAGGAGCTCCGCCTGCCGGGAGGTGAGAGGACAGGGCCTGTGTGCTCCGGCAGCCCGGTAGGCGAGGAAGGCCAGGCGAGCTCCAGCCCCAGGGAGTGCCGTACCTGCCCTTGCTCTGAGAAGCCCGGACTTACCTATGTAGATGCTGCCTTTGGCGTTGACTGCCACATTGGGACCTGGGGACTGGCCGCCGACCAGCTCCTCACCATCGACCTGGATGGAGCCTCTGCGGCCCTCCCTGCAGTGGAACTGGATCAGGCCCTTTCCCACAAACTCCCCCATCCTCCCTGGCCCCACGAGAGTCCCCTCCCTCTGGCACCGAGACTCCAGACTCAGAAGTCTGTCCGTCTTCCCCCAGCTCTTTCTTTCCCGCACTGAACCAGAGATCCAGCCCCACAAGCACAGCTTCCTCGTTTCTGTGCCCAGGTTTCCTCCTGCTCCTGGGGCGATTGCCTGCCCCCAGTGGAGTTCAGTCCGAGATGGAAGCCTGAGACCTGATTGGTGCGTTCTTCCTTCCCAAGGCTTCAAGTTCTGACTCCACAGAGCTCAATGCCTGCCTCTCAGCCCATTGTGGGGGGCATCCTGCCCCACTCCAGAATGCTGGGCCCCATCTCGAGTGCCCAGAAGACTCCCTTACCGCAGCGCTGTCACCCGGTGCCACTCGCCGTCATTGATGGGGTCCTCAGAGACCAGGCGGGCCTCCCCACTACCCAGTTGGTACCTGCAGTCATCCAGGCCCAAGAAGTATGAGCTGGGGCAGGACTGGGGGGTGGGGTGCTGGGACCAGGGAAGGGAGAGGAAGGGCCAGATGCTAGGACCCACCTGAAGACAAGGTGCCCATCTTCAAGCCCCAGGCTGATGAAGTCATGGCCTCGGCCGGTCTCTCCTGCCTCCTGCCAGGGAAGCACAGGGTCTCTGGGGTCCTCAGCTTGGAGAGCAGAGGCTCTGCCTCCCCCTCTCCCCACCAGTCTGGCCACCAGGAAGCCGACTTCCTGCCCTAGGAGCCCAAGAGACCAGCTGGATGCCTATACTCACCACGCCCTGCCAGAGCAGGAGGCCATTAGCTGTGCTGGTCTGAACCTCCAGCTCGATGGTCTCGGGCACCTCGGGCAGGCTATGGAGGAAGGGTGGGTGAGGGGACAGAATTCTCAGATTCCTATCCTCCCCATTAGGCCCACTGGCTCTCCCAATGTTGGTCTCACCTCCTGGAGAAGATGCGGCCAGGGAAGGCGAGGAAGCCATCATCGTGGAAATAGGCTCCGTACTGCCCAGGGGCATCTATGGGAGAGAGGGGGATGGTGACACACCTGCCACATCAGGCATCAATCCCCCATCAGTTCCCCTGACCACCTCCACACCAATATGCAGGACCAGGGGCTCTGAGCCTGCAGTCCCTGGGGACCCAGGGGGGCTGTGGATAGAATTCAGGGGACCTGTGGCCTTGGATGGGAAAGCATTACCCCTGCATTTCACTCACTTCTCACTGAAACTGAGAGTTCTCTGAATGAGATGTAGGCAAGAACCCAAAGCAGTAGTGGCAGGACCCACGACTTTGTTACTAGTATTTGCTTATCACCTTACAGGAGCTGCAAATATTTCAAAACCTCATTTACACATACTGCTGTTTGGAATTGTGGTAGCTACCGAGACCACCACCAAGGTCGTGTGATTTGATGTTAATAAAGAAGCACATATAGAGCAAGTCAGAAAACTTAAAAAGTGTTTTGATTACTTCAGCATAATCACTTTCCTTAAATCCATGTATTTTATTTTGTGCAGTCAAAAGGATCTGTGTCGGGTGACCGGCCATTCTGTTTGGCTTTAGTGCTGGAAGTCCCACAAGAAACCCTTCAGTCCAGAGCTACTGGGACGGTTGGTCACCTTGGACCGTGGCAATAAATGGCTCAGAGCCTTGGTGTTGTATCTTACAGATGCGCAGGAAGGCTCAGGCAAGAGACTGGCTCAGGATGTGGGGGGAACTAAGACTGCAACCTGGGTCTTTCATCCCTGGTGTCCATACTGTGTGTGGCTCCACCACTCCCAGCCCTATCTGCTCAGGACCCATCCTTTAGGCCGGAACTGGCCACAGTAGGTCTGGCAGGTGTCAAGAGTAGGGGACCCTCTGCTACCCTCCACCAGATGATGAGGAGGACGGCTGACATTTACCAAGTACCTGTGACATGCCTGTGCGGGGAGTGTCCCATCCAGCCACAGACACCATTGCATTTAACTCAGTCCTTACAACAACCTCGTGAATGAAGATTATATATAGACATGTTTAATTTTTATTATTTTTTATTGAGTTGGAGTCTCGCTCCATGGCCCAGGCTGGAGTGAAGTGGTACGCTCTTGGTTCACTGTAACCTCTGCCTCCCAGGTTCAAGCAATCCTGCCTCAGCCTCCTGAGTAGCTGGTGCACACCACCACACCTGGCTAATTTTTGTGTTTTTAGTAGAGATGGGGTTTAACTTTGTTGACCAGGCTGGTCTTGAACTCCTGATCTCAGGTAATCCATCCACCTCGGCCTCCCCAAGTGCTGGGATTACAGGCATGAGCCACTGCGCCCAGCACTATATATGTATTTTTTTGAGACGGAGTTTCACTCTTGTTAGCTAGGCTGGAGTGCAATGGCGCGATCTCGGCTCACCACAACCTCCGCTTCCTGGGTTCAGGCAATTCTCCTGCCTCAGCCTCCTGAGTAGCTGGGATTACAGGCACGAGCCACCATGCCCAGCTAATTTTTGTATTTTTAGTAGAGACGGGGTTTCACCATGTTGACCAGGATGGTCTCGATCTCTTGACCTCGTGATCTACCCACCTTGGCCTCCCAAAGTGTTGGGATTACAGGCTTGAGCCACCACACCTGGCCGCCCAGCACTATTTTTTAGTTTTTTTGAGACAGGATATCACTCTGTTGCTCAGGCTGGAGTGCAGCGATGCAATCACAGCTCACTACAGCCTTGACCTCCTGGGCTCAAGTGATCCTTTTGACTTGGCTGGGACCTTAGCCATGTGCCACCACACCCAGCTAATTTCTAAATTTTTGTAGAGATGAGGTCTCCCTGTGTTGCCCAAGCTGATCTTGAACTCCTGGGCTCAAGCGATCCTCTTGCCTGTCTCACGAGTAGCTGGGACCACAGATGAGCGCCACCATGCCCAGTACTTTTTGTATTTTTTTGTAGAGACAAGATTTCTCCATGTTGCCCAGGCTGGTCTGGAATTCCCT